AATAGTCCTTCTCGAGTACCCATTCCATTTCGGAACCCGAACTGCGTCTCGCTAATATCCTCCTCTAGCCTTTCGTATATTCTCTTATGTATTATTTTTAGCAGAACTTTTAAAGTATGACTCATGAGGCTCAGTGTTCGATAATCAGAGCACTCTTTTGCTGCTTGTTTTTTAGGGATGGTTATAAATGCTGACTTTAGCCACTCCTGTGGTATTATTCCCGTATCGTACACCGTGTTGAATAAATCTGCCAATACTTCCAAGTTGTCCTCTTCCACTAGTTTTAAGAGTTCTACTGGTATTTCATCTAATCCAGCTGCCTTATTGTCTTTAGAGTTTTTGATAGCATATTTGATTTCATCTATCGTGATCTTCTGTATCTCTAAAGGATTTAATTCTTGTATTTTCTGCATTTCACCTCTTTCATCTTGGAAAAGTTCTCTAACGTACTCCTCCCATCGCCTTAACTTCTCTGGTAAACTTACTAGTAGTACTCCTTTTTTGTCTTTTATGTGTCCTTGCTGTCTATTTCGACCCATTCCAGTCACTTCTCTAATTTTTTTGTGCATATTTCTCATATCATTTTGTTTCTAGTTCTTCTATCTCTTTACATTGCTTCATCAAATAGATTTCCTTAGCTGTTTTGATTTTTTCCTTAATTATTCGTTGTATTTCTTTATACTTCTGTAGATCTTTTCCTTTATATTTCCTTCTTTCTTCCATCAGTAATAGTATTTCTTCTGTCATCCAATGTTTTTTAGCCTCTGATTTATGTTCTTTTAAACTTTCTTGAGCTGATTTCAGTAATGTGTTTTTTATATTACACCACTTTTTATTTACATCCATAATTTGTTTGTTGTCAGTTAGTGTTTTTTGCATATTAACATTCACATTATTTTTTATTTCGTTTTTTATTTCTTCGTTTTGTAGCATTCTTATGTTAATTTTTGGTTGTTGTTTTCTGAGTTCAATTTTTTTTAATTTTATTTTCACGTCAGCCACTAGCGGATTGTGGTCTGAGTTAACATCTGCTCCAGGATAAGTTTTAACTGAGGTTATAGAGTTTTTATATCTGCTATTTACGAGTATAAAGTCTATCTGGTTTCTGACAATGTGGTTTTCTGTATGTGAAGGAGACGTCCATGTATATAGTCTTCTTTTAGGAAGCTGAAACCAAGTATTGGCAATTACCATATTCTTTTCTTGGCAGAATTCTATGAGCCTTTCTCCTCTCTCGTTTCTAGTTCCTAGTCCGAACTGTCCAACTATATTTTCAACTGTACCTACTCCAATTTTTGCATTAAAATCTCCTAAAATGTAAGTAATATCTCTAGATTTTGTTAACTTGATTGTATTGTGCAATTCTAAATAAAAGTTTTCGATCTCATCTTCGGTCTTATCAGCAGTGGGAGCGTAATCTTGGATCATATTAATATTACAGTTCCGTGCTTGAATTTTTAGCATTATTATTCTTTCTGAGATTTGAATCACACCTAACACTGATTTTTTAATAGTGTTGCTTATGATAAAAGCTACTCCGTATCGATGATCAGTTTTGTCTCCTCCAGTGTAATAAATATTGTGGTTATTTATTGATATCTCTCCATTTCCTGACCACTGTACATCGCTAACCTCAAGTATATCTATATTTAGCCTCTCCTTCTCTTTAATAACATTGTGTAGTTTTCCAGGCTGATACATACTTCTTACATTCCAGGTAGTTATTTTACACCGTAGTGGGTATTTAAATGTTGTACATTTGGTTTTGTCTGCTGATATTATCATATTGTATTTCTTAGCTGTTGTATTGAAGATATGTGTTAATCTTTGGAGCTCGTCTTCTGTCTCGGCGATTAATGCGGCGTCGTCTGCATAACATAATATTTGGATTTCTTTGTTTCCCATTTTGTAGCCATGACCTTTACGTACTGCTTGTATTATTTCGTTCATTATTATATTAAAGAGAAGTGAGCTCAACGAGTCACCCTGTCTGACTCCGTTTTGTATTGGTATAGATACACTGTGTTAGTTTTCCATTTATCTTTGCCTGTATTCGATTTTGGAGGTAGATGTTTTCGATGGTTTGTATAATATTGATTGGTATGTTTCTTTTATACAGTAGGTGTAAGACGTCTTCAACTTGGATGCGATCGAAAGCCTTTGTTAGGTCTATAAAACATAGATATGTTGGTTTATTGTACTCGATGGCCTTTTCTGTGATTTTCTTAGTGCAAATACAGCGTCTTCGCAGGATCTTCCGGATCTGAATCCTTGTTCATCTGATAAAGTTGTTAGTTTATTGACTTTATTGGTTAGGACTTTTGTGGTAAGCTGAAGTGCGATTTTCAATAGATTTATATTTCTATAATTGTTGGGGTCTTTTTATCTTCTTTCTTGAACATTGGTATCATTATGCTGTTTCGCCATGCGTCTAGTATCTTGCACTGCAATATTAGTTTGTTTATAAGTTTTGTCATCTCTAGGGTGATACTTTTTCCTCCGTATTTTAGAAGCTCATTGGTTATTCCGTCTGGTCCTGGCGACTTTTTTTGAGCGAATTTATGGCTATTTCTACTTCCTGAAAACTGATTACCATTTCGTGTCTTAATTCAGGTACGTTATTGTGTTGATTATTATTTTCCTTTGTTTTAAACAGTTCCGTCAGGTATCTTTACCATTCGTTTCCTGGAATGTTATTGTATTCCTCAATTCTGCCATTTCTTTCCGTTGGTTTCTTATAAATCTCCATATTTTTTTTTTTGTATACAGTAGAAGTCGCTTTCCATCCTTTTTGTAAACTGTTCCCAGTGTTCATTTTTTGTTCTTCTTACCAACTGCTTTGTTTCATTTCGTATTCTTCTAGAGTTGTCTCGGGATTCTGGGGTATTTGATGTTTTGTACTTCGTGTAGGCCTCTCGTTTCTCTTTTATTTCTTTTCTGAACCGTGGTGTATTGTTGTTGTTTCTTTTGTTCAGTATGACTTTGCGTTTTCCTAGAGCTTCTGTTGCTGCTTCTTCAATGTTGTTTTTAATTTTCTCCCAGCTCGCGTTTATGTCTTCCATGTCGTCTATTTGTGTCAGCTGTATTTTCTGTGCTAGCCTCCTTTGGTACATTTCTCTTTACCTTAAATAATTTACCTTAAATGATAATTCATAAGGCTTCAAGCTAACTGCAGCCTGCCTAATGACTTTAGCTTTTATATCATAACTTTTGTTATTATTGTTTTTCATTACATGCTCTTCCACATGAAAAACTTGATTTGCCAGTACTAGATTTTTCCCTTTCGTTTCCGTTTGGGGTTGAAAAGATAAATTATAATGTATTTTTAGAAACAAATCTTTTGCATTTCTTTTGTACAAAAATTGAAAAAATATAATGAAAATACTAATTATTAATAATTGTCAATTTCGTATGTATTTAACATACGTTTAACCTCAAATTGTGAGGTCCAAAACTGACAAATGAAGAATATATGAAATATATGAAAGAAGAAATGAAATAATAAATAAACATCTAATTAAAGTACTTAAAGTAAAAGCCGAGGCGAAGAATGTTGAAAAGGAGTCAGCTTCTAAAACTGCGTCATCTTCCCTAGTTCGGACTTCCATATAGGTGAAAGTAAAAACACCAACCAAAGCGAAGCAATCGAATAAAGGCAATCCTACGAAAAAACCAAAGGCACCTAAGCCAAAGACCGTCAAGACTACTGCAAGTTCACCAAAAGACTAGAAAAGCTGCTGCTAATAAGAAAAAGTAATTGGTCTAGTTAATATCTTCAAATTATAAAAAAAGGGAAGTTTTTTAAAAAGTATAACATTATTTAATTAAAATAATATATAATATAAAATACCACATATTAAATAAAATAAACTTAATTGAAAATCATTTTCTTCTTTCTTATTAGTATGTAGTCTTTAAAATGAGTTCCTATAAACATTTGAGTGGGCATGAAACAATAAAACAAAAAGCAGATCGATATAAGTGGCAAAACAAATGAAGACAACGGAAAATTTTTTAACTGGAGATGGAGCGCACTTACAACAACCGTCTTCATTTTCACAAATGTCACCTGTTTAAACTCCAGAAACATCATTTGTGTCCAAAACCATTCTGCAAAAATATCATCAGGAAAAACCAAGCAATTCCGATTGTGAAAATGAAATAGCGGAAGAAAATATAGATTTAAAAGTATCTCAAAGTCTCTAAAAAGTAATGATGAAACTAAAAGAAACTTGTTACGATAAATAATAACTCATATCTAAAATGTAAACATCTTTTTTCATTCGAGTATTTTCTAGTAGGAAGATCCACGGGACCCCCTACGCTAAAACCTGTCTTCTAGCGTGACCTTCCAGTCTTTTCGACAAGGGTCAGGAAGGTCGACGGGATTCCAGATTAACGGTGCTATATATATATATATATATATATATATATATATATATATATATATATATATATATATATATATATATATATATATATATATATATATAATATATATATAAACAACAAAGTTTATTAGGGCTGCAGTCAGACCTTTGGCCAGGATGTTATAGAAACACTCTTTTGACTTTTGGTCTTGCTTTCGGAATTGTTTAATTCCTTTTTCAAGACTCTGTAATTAGAAAAATGTGTAAATATTTACAATATATCACAAAATGTCAGTGCAACTTACTAGTCGTTGGGATTATTTGTATAAAGCTATGACACTCAACATTAATAACATACATATAAAATATAACATAAAATAATGGACAAAATACATTTTAAAATTTAGTTAAAGATAGTAAAAATTCGTTTGTGACATCTTTTAATGGTGTGTTTTAACTGATCCATAGAGAATAAAAAAAAAACAATAAAATGGCACAAAATAATATAAAATAGAATAAAATACTTAAATTCAAATAAATAAAACAAAACACTCCAATTAACATGCAAGTGAGATCAAAGTGCAATTGTATTTTCGAAGCAGTCTTTAGATATTGGTAATGATAAAAATATAAACTTCAAATTTTAATTTAAAAAAATTTATTTACATTTTTGAGGTAACCAGGTTAACAATAAATAACAATAATTTAAAATCACATCTAAATGTCAACTATTGGGAGACAGTTTGTAAATCGGTACTGATGGCTTTCCATACCTCTTGGCTGTTTCATTTAAAAAAGCATTTTCCATTTGTTGTACCAACCTATCAAAGAATATGGATGCAATGTGAGAGTACAGCACAGATTTGAATCTAAATTTTATAGAAAAATCTATTATACATGTCTTGGGATTGCTATACAGGCCAGGATAAAATGTCCAAGTAGTTTCTAAATAGTCAAAAAGTCTACCATCAAAACATTTTGCTTGTACCATATTTGGTTTGTCTAATGCAACTATAGAAGTATAGTTTTCAACAATCGGAGGAAAGCCAATTTCTAAATTGGCATGAAGTTTTGTAGATTCAGCTTTTAGAACTGTAGATTTAGTACAAAATGGTAAAAAATTTTCATAGTTTCTTACATCAGCTATTACTTCAAAAATATCTTGATTTGCGAATCTAAAAGTACGGCAATATTTAATTGGAAATATTAAACATATATTACACAAAACATACCCTATTAATTTTCTTGCATTGTAAACTTTTTCCCTAGTAGAAGTACTAAACTGTCTAAGGCTACACTTAATATTTTGAATATGTAACACATGTGTGCCTTTTAAAAATTGCATGTCGTCATAATTTGGTATTTCAAACTCTTATTTCCTATTAATATAAAAGATCTCGTTCTAACTCATATTAATAATATATATTATTATTATTATTAAAAAGAGGTTATAGGTTATTATATCTTATATGTCACAATCAGCTGTTATAGAACTACCATGATTTTTATTTGAGTATTCTGTGATAGATATAGTAATGCCACAGAATAATAAACAAATTGTTTATTATTCTGTGGTAATGACACAGAATAATAAACAATTGTTTATTATTCTGTGGCGCAAGTTAGAAGCCAGAGGAAAGAATGCACATCGGCATCGTCTTTAACGATTTTTATTATATACTTACATCCATATATTTTATTATATACTTACTTACTTATATATACTTAGAATTAGAAAGATTAAATTTTGAAAGAATTTTTATAAAATCAGACTCCTCTGAGTCCTTAGATTGAATCAGAGTCTGATTTATAATTTAGCCTGATTTAATTTATTGTTGTGTCGAAAATAAAAGTTTTAATTGTGAATTCAGTTTTTAAAAAAGTGTTTTTCCCAAGAAAATTCATAATTCGCATCTCGTTCGTGCAGACGGAATCAGCCATGTTTTAAACGGAACCAGTGATTCTATGATGTTCAGTGAAATTTTATACGGTTTCAAAGGCGGCATCTGAGAGTGAGCATTTTGATTGATTTATTTTGTGGCCAAAGAATATAGATTCTGTGGCATAGGCACATAATCAATAACAATCAGGATGCCCACTCTCAGATGCCGCCTTTGAAGTTTGTCAGCACACGATCGCCATATTTTAAACGGAAACATAAACTCGGATTGAGAAATTTGTGACAAGCTACGACAGAACTGGAATTAAATTTTTTAGAGATTAATAATTCAGTAAATTTGAAATAATTTAACCTATTCTTCAACTAAAAGTACGAATAACATAGGACATGTCTATGGTTGCCGTAAATAAATTAAACCGGGTTAATTTTTCTATGCACACCAAATAAAATTTCACCGAACTGCACTGATTCCGTTTAAAATATGGCTGATTCCGTCTGCGCGAACGAGATGCGCGTACTTATCTTGACAAGCAGAGTGGGCATTCTGATTTAAAGACAATATTATTTTATAAATTTTCTAAAGGCTTTATTTCGTTATAAGTAATGTTATTTCGGACAATTTTCACATTTGGTCCCATTGAAGATAACCTCAAGTTAGCTGTCAATTAAGTTTCACAGAACGAAATATTGCGTTGGCAGTGTTGCCATGTTATTATAATGTATATGTTATATGCTTCAAATACAAAGAGATAAAGCTTTTAAAAGGTACATTTTTATCATATCATTTTATGGATTCTGCAATGTTATACCTTATATAAAATATTAATGAAGTAATATTTGTTTCGTTTGATATTAGTTGTAATAAATTATCAGAAATTTTTTTTGGCAATTGCCCTTTGTTAGGTTAGCAGATAGATTTGGCAATAGAGTCAGAACCCTCAAACCACCAGCTGCCAGATTGCAATAGATGCCCTTTAAATTTTATTATTTTTAATGACATTTTACTATTTACTGTTAAAAACTGTTTACTTTTTCTTTTTTTCGTATTCTTTAAATATTAGTTTTTAAATATCTTATTGCTTTTAATTGCGTATGTTTCGTTTGTAATGTAAATTTCAACACTGCCAAACACCAATATTTCATTCTGTCAAACCCATTTGAAGCTATCTTCAATGGGACCAAATGTGAAAATCGTCCGTTATTTCTTTCATAAATAAAAAATATTTATTTAATAATGTAAATTTCAACACTGCAAAACACCAATATTTCATTCTGTCAAACCCATTTGAAGCTATCTTCAATGGGACCAAATGTGAAAATCGTCCAATATTTCGTTATAAATTTATAAACATATGGCATATAACCAGAAATATTTACAGACTTAAAACCAACAATAAATCCACGAAGAAATTCATGAATATATTCATCAATTTCTGTGTCAAATTCAAATCAAACTTGAAGAATTTGTTTGCTGCAGAGATTCTTCTGTCTGTGTCTGTCATATGTTGCTGTCAGTCATCGAGTCATGTGTCACACATTGATTGACAATTTGACAAGGGATAAGATAAAATCAGATAAAATTTAATTTGATTGATTTGATTTAATGTTTTTTTAGTCTAGGATCTACTCTAGGAAGTTTGAATAAAGTAGAAAAAATATTTGCGTAACAGTTATTGGAATATACTAAAAATGGCTCTAGCAATGCAAAGAAAGGCAAATGTAAGTTTTGTAGTTTATTTATTATAATATTTTTCAGTCTTTATCAACAATGCAAAAAATTCATTGTCTTTAATTTATAGGTACGTTTGCCACCAGAAATTAACCGAATATTATACATCAGAAATCTTCCGTACAAAATTACTGCTGAGGAAATGTATGATATATTTGGTAAATATGGAGCAATTCGACAAATTCGGGTAGGAAATACTCCAGAAACAAGGGGCACTGCATTTGTAGTGTTTGAAGATATATTTGATGCCAAGAATGCCTGTGACCATCTATCTGGTTTCAATGTATGTAATAGGTATCTAGTTGTATTATATTATCAGGCAAATAAAGCATTTAAGAAAACAGATATAGATAAGAAACAAGAGGAGATTGACCAGATGAAGAGTAAATATGGAATAAACACATAATTTTTAAGTCATTGATAATTAATATTTGATTTAAAGTTTGTGCTTATTTGTATTTCTCACTTAAATTGATGGGCTAAAGTCTAGAGAAAGTTCCGAATGAAGGAAATCTTGTATTTGGCAGTGTTAGTTAATGCTACTGTAAAGTTTTTAATATATATTTTTACTTTTTTATGTACATGAAAATAAGCCACAATCCTTCACAAAATTATTCACTGTAATGTTTTAACCACCTGAATGACAGATGCAACGAAAATAAATATAAGATTTACAAAATCACATTTTATGGATTAAATTGTCAATAATGATAGTTTAATCTGTGCAATGCAAATTTGAAAAAATGTATTTATTTTAATGACTGCAGATCTGATATTCATAAAATTAATATCTGTCCCATTCTGGCAACTAGTGTTTTGACAGTTCTGACAATATTGCCAAATTTATCCACTAGTCTATCAAATGGCAATTGCAATTTTTTTTTCTAATAACTAACTGCAATGTGCCACAACTAATGTTGAAAGAAACAAATATTCATTCGTTCATGTTTTATATTATAAATTGAAAAAGACCAGAAAATGTACTATTTCTTACCTTTCTCTGTGTATATTTGAGGCATAAAACATATACATAATAAGGACATGGCAATACCGCAAAAGCAAATTTGTGTTTTACTGAAGTTTTTTTGTGGCATAGCTAACTTCATTTGGAACATTCTCTAGACTTTAACCAATTGATGTGTAAGTGTACAAATTCTTAAATACAAGGGATTATTCTGTAAAATCATAAAGTTTCAGTACATATTTTATCATCTGACTAGCAACTTGTGGATATTATAGTAAAGTGCATTAAGCGATGCAGGGAGATGTAAAAATTAAATCATATCCGAAACTGTATGAGCAGCCGACAACGTCGGCAGATGAAATAAAGATGGACATTTCGGATAGTTTTTAAATATTTTTGAAGAGCTGTTACTTGCACTTATGCATAAAATATTCATTAATTTTATAAATCGGATTATTTGGGAAAAGAAAAAAAAATTAAGTGTCATGATTATACTGTTACTTATTGGAACGAGTAGACTCATTTGGAACATCTTAATTATCTGTTAAATTTATCGTTGTTTATATGCCCTGCATCACTTAATGAAATAATGTATAGGTATGTGAGAAATAAATAAAAGTTTGTCTTTATATAAAAAAATTGTAATTAATTGGAGATTTTAGTGTAAGGAATAAATTTTCTTAATAAACTATTGGTATTGTTTTCTTTTATATTTTGTGTTTTATGTAAAACTTAATGAGGTTGCTGGCTAATATTTAATTTTAAATAACGAAAATTGCAATGTGTGTAAATGGATATGTAAAGTAAAAGAATGTGATTCAAATAACAATTGACAGATTTAATAACTTATTATCAATTCTATACGAGATTCACTTACCTTTTTTGATGCTCTCATGATGACTAGTTGGTGTAGAGTGCCAATCATACCAAAGAAAATATGTATGTACCAAAGTCGACTAGGATGGTTCCTTTGTTCTTAGGACCTCCGTGCATACCAATAAATTAAGCTTAAAATGTCATTTTAAACTTTCTACACAAAGGACGGGTACATTTCCTTAAGGAGTCTAAAGTATTTTGGGTTGATAAATAGTTTCCCAGACAAGTGAATTCTCAGAACTTGAAAATAATGAATCATCCGATTTGACTGTGAGAATTTAAAAGATATGGAACTAAAGCCATATTATAATTAAATAAAAGATTTAAAACTAAATAAGGTCATGTTCTGAATAATAAAAATAAAATATTTAAATAAGTCAACACTTTTCCAAACATTTTGTATACACAGATAAATAATGTTAAAGAAAAGAGGAAGATACCCTATCAATATAATACCCACCATTTGAAACCTGAGGACAAATAGAAATTTGAATGGTTTTTAGAGAGATATGAAGAAAACTTCATGGAAAATGTTACAACACTAGTCAAGCATAAAATCGATATAAACAACAGGAAATAATAAGGGAAAAGAGATGGCATGATCCCAATAAAAAATTTGGTCACAGTTAAAACAGAAACTAGAGAAGAGGTATACCAAAGGCCCAGGCAACAAAAACTTTTCCAGCAGCAACCATACTCCATCTACAGGACAACTACAAGTGCTCTTAAAAACTCTGCTATTACATTGCTGAGGCCCAATACCTCAGGTGCACCAAGCTCAAAGATCACTGTAGAGATTGATAGCAACACAGTCTTGTTGGATCAAAATATTCAGTGACATTAGAGAAAAGATGGAACATATTTTTTCTTGGTTTATTTTTAAATCTAAATTACAATTAGATTGTTAAAAAGAGCATAGGAGTTGTTTGCTTCATTTAAGATTTTACAAACAAAATATTGCTTTGCTAATATTTAATTACACTAATAGCATTGCACTTACAATGTTCAAGTGGGATTTAAAAAACAACACATCAACATTTATATTTTATTCTGAACAACATTATAAAAAATAAAGATCTAGAAAAAAATTCAACACAGGTTGATCAAAAATGGGACAAAAATCAGTTCAATTAAGACAATAAAAATAGTATACCTAGTATATATCTAATAGAATAAAATTCGAGAGATTATCCTTGGTCCTTTCTTAATATCATGTTTTCACTGGATATCAGATCTGGAGATTAAGCAGGTGTAACATCGGTTTGGTGGTTAGTGGTTTCAAGCTTCAACAAACTGCCACTCTGAGGTCTATCTTTTCCTGAGGCCCACTTTATGAATAAGCTGAAGAAAAAAAGAATGTATAAAAAGTATGATCTTTTCTGTAGTACTTATTGCAATCTGCAATTAATATTGATGAAATGGTAGTATTAATTCTACAAATACTCACTCTGCAACAAATTCCAAAGATGTCCAGGTAGAAAAGTCAGCTTTTGGCATCCATTTTCGGTTCATAGGTGTGTCCAAAGTCACAGGCAAAATAGCCACTGCTACTGCATTGTTTGGGAGACCACTGTCTTTCTGGGACAGAGATTTAGTCAAGTGGTGTACTGCAGCTTTGGCTAGGCCATATCCAATCATACCTGTACATAAAAAATTACTAATAGTTGATTATAGTTCATAGGGGAAGTTTTCATATTTGGTTAGTTTAGTTATTGTGATATTCCTACAACTAGGGTTTTGTTGGGATACATGTTTCTTGCAAAATAAAAAGAAATTACCTATTATTTTTACTTAAAAATTCTTAATACTTATTAAATAAATTACCAACAAATTCCTTTTGTTTCTTAAAAAAAAGCTCCTTCCTTAAGGGTTAAGATATTAAAAAATCTAATACAGTAATATAGTCAGTGTAAAAAGTATTGTTAAACTGCATCACTTACTCTGGAATACTAGCATCTCATCTAACAAATTTAATTAAAACAATTATACTATATTAATTGGTCAGATTAGTTTTGCTAGCATCCTGGAGCCATCATTGATGTCAAGTATTACTAATCAGAAGAATCACTATAGTAAAATTCATTAAGCCATGCAGGAAAATATAAACATTAAATCGTGTCCGAACCGGTATGAACCGCTGATAACCTCGCCAGACGAAATAAAGATGGACATTCCGGTTAGTTTTTAAATATTTTTGAAGAACTGTTACTTGCATTTATGCATAAAATATTCATTAATTTTATAAATCGGAGTATTTTTTCACTTACTTTGTATTCAGTGATCATTAATTTATTTACTATGCAATAAACACGAATATTTGAGAAAAGAAAAAATAATAATAAAGTGTCATAATTATACTGTTACTTATCGGAACAAGTAGACTCATTTGGAACATCTTTAACAATTATCTGTTAAATTTATCGTTGTTTATATGCCCTGCACCGCTTAATGGAATAAGGTATAGAAGATCTATAATAATTGTTGCTAACCTGGAGTAGCTTCCAATGCAGCTTTAGCTCCTGTTAGTTGGATAATACCACCTTCCTTCAAATAGTTTGCTGCAAGAGAAGCAGCTATAAGAGAACTGCAAACACTTTGGTTCCACATCAGTTCAGAATTTTTTACCAGATCTAAGTATTAAACAAATCTTATTGTAATTATTTTATGTATGAAATCAGAAATATGTTTACCTTTAGTAGCATTTCCTCCGGCCCATCCACCAGCAACACAAAATATTCCATCCAGTTTGGAACCATTTAATGAGGAATTAACAGAAGATAGGATTGATGTTTCCTGAAGCATTAATAAAGCATAGCCATTAATATACCATAATGGTATTGATTAAAGCAATTCATAAAATAATAATTCTTTACATGGTATTTTAAAAACATTTAATATTTCAACTTTTCAGGCTCCTTCTATGAAATTGTATTTTAAAAAAGGGAATGTACCTATTGTATGATTCTGGTTGCTTGGGTATTTCCGCACCACACCCCTTTTCTTAGACAAAAGTGAGTAATCTTAACTAAGAATTTACACATTTTTTGATAGAATACACACAGTAATAAAGAAATACAATGTTTACCTGATCTTGAAGATTATCTTCCTTTTTCACTAAAATGTTTACATCTGCTTCTGGATTTTCGGTCAAATCTATAGATCCTACCCACTAGAAAGACATAAACATATGTTATATATACTTTTATCTAATTTATTTTAAAAGACTTACGAAATTATTTGCTTTAAAATGCGATATACATTTAGCACCAAGGGCTCCTCTACCCCCATAAACGATTACACGTCCAGCATAAGTCATTTTCTTGGTGAAATGGGGAAAACCACTTGTTTCCACTGACTACCTTGAGAACTTGAGAACTAAACTTGAGACTAATCAATATTGCATTAACGATTGTCGTAATACCGATTGATTAAACCGTGGAACTAATTTATTTCAATTTCAAAATCAATTGTGCAACTGACAGAACCAGAACAGATTTCAACAATAGTTAGAGGTGCATATTATTCTGTGGTTGCATCTCAACATTTCTGTGGAACCGGAAATTCGCTTAATATATCCGAACGGTACCTCGGATCCGGATCAGTACTGATCCGACAAAGAAGAGATTTTTTAAATAAAAATTATTTTCTCAGACAAAACACAACCACGCAATTCGTTCGTTAGAATGAATCAAAGTTAAAAAACAGTGAAAAATATTGTAAGGTAGCAATAGTATCAAACTATTACATTTTTGTTTTTTGTTAAATTTTTTAATTTCCTAAATCCTAGATTATTGCTTAAAAAATTCAAGTAATCTACATCCAATACAAATAATTACGAATTGCAATAATATATTTATACAAGGATTATAATATGTAAATTATTCTTTATTTTATATAATAATTTATTGCAAATTATAATACAGGTGGTTGTTTATCCTTGAGATCGAGATCAAAATGTCAAAACATGTCACTGCCGGTGGGGAATTTTAAGGGGGAGGAAAGGGAAAGGAGGAAAGAGATGTGAATACTGTGAATATCAACAGATATCAACATCAACATGATAAAATAAACTTATAAGATTGATGTGCAGTAAGTTCCTTTTAATATTATTTTTACCAAGCATTTAAGCTTGAAGCTTGAGCCGAATTTATAAATTCCCATGAAACAATAAATAAAATTTTACCGTAAATATGGTAAGTTGAATTTTTTTGTAATTATACTTATATTATTCTAAAATGATTTTTAATGTGTCACTTTATAATTATAATAATCTGCTTTCAGGTAGATAATCCTGAAGCTTCCAGTACACCAAAAAAAGTAATGGAAGGAGGCCTATTCGAAATTATCAAGAAGTTGTAAGTCCTATTGAAAATCAAAAGAGTGTAACAGAAAAAGATCATTACAATGATAAAGTTCCAAAAGAAGATACAAGTTCTGAAACAGAATCCTATTCAGATGATGAAAGACAAGTAGATTCAGCTGAGGAAAACAGCCTAAATGTTGAATCCAATAAGAGCAAAACTCGATTTAGTGTCAATGGAAATATATTTTTTATTTTGTTTTTGATATCAGTTTTAATAGCCCTATATATGTATAATCCTAAGGCTGAACCTGTGGAGAGCATACATACTGATTTTGCTAATTTAATAAATGATCATCCACAAACAGAAGATTTCTGGATTAATGTCAGGGTGGCCCTGCATGACATTAAAAGGTTAAATCAACCCAAATCCATAATATTTTTGTATGAGGATGATACTACTATGGCCAAGGTTCTTAAAAGTATATCAAGGTATGCTTCATATGATATATGCAAAAGTAAACAGGTAATTCAATTACCTGGTAGATATTTAAAAAACTCAAATATCTTGGAAGATTATGGTACCTTTATATCAGAAATCAGAGATAACTTAGTTGAAAAATGTGTTATAGTGATAACAAATCTAGACGAAGCTCCAGGAACATCTGCTCAAGCCTTTCATAGTTTATGTGATGAATATAATCCTGTCAAGGCGCAAGTTTTATTTTTATTCACAATGAAAGTTAAAAGTCTTGCTAATACTAGTGAAAAATATATTGAAAAAACACTACTGGAGAAGTGGAATGATTTACATGTTGATAAATTTTATCCTTTGTATGCCAGAATTTCTACCTTTGTTGTAAAAGTGAAAACAGAAAAATAAAGTATATTTTATTGAAGTCACTGTTTTTTACTTATTTACTTTTAATTATGGCAAAAATACATTGTTTTGTTACAAAATAACTATGTTTTTTTCAGCTGTATGATTGGTAATGAACTATTAATATTGCAATAGTTGCAAAATCATCATCAGAGCACTGATATATATATATATATATATATATATATATATATATATATATATATAAGGATCACTCAGACGAGTGGTGGGTTCTTATATCGGTCTCTAGGTGGAGAAATAAAAGACAAAGTTGATAGGCTACTTTATCTATTTTGAAGACGTTTCGCTTTCGAGTTTTGAAAGCATCATCAGTTCATCTTAAAAAGATATGTAGCAGTCAATGTTATTAACAAATATGTGAATGAAACTAAGTAAATGGACATAGTACGCTGATCTTGTATAAACAGTTAAGCAACTAACAACATATATGAACTTGTACAAAAATTAGCACAGCAATTGACCATGTGGTCCAAAATAAATTCAATGTTATTTATATTAATAAGTGAGAAAGAACCAAGAAAATCATAAATAACCTCCAACTATTTAATGGATATTAAACTTTGATTTTAACTTTAGGTAGCATTATAAGTAATATTAATAAAATTCTACAAAATAGTGAATATGAAGTTACCGATCAAAGCCTTGTGGATGTCGCCGTGAAAATGGCATCCACAAGGCTTTGATCGGTAACTTCATATTCACTATTTTGTAGAATTTTATTAATATTACTTATAATGCTACCTAAAGTTAAAATCAAAGTTTAATATCCATTAAATAGTTGGAGGTTATTTATGATTTTCTTGGTTCTTTCTCACTTATTAATATAAATAACATTGAATTTATTTGGACCACATGGTCAATTGCTGTGCTAATTTTTGTACAAGTTCATATATGTTGTTAGTTGCTTAACTGTTTATACAAGATCAGCGTACTATGTCCATTTACTTAGTTTCATTCACATATTTGTTAATAACATTGACTGCTACATATCTTTTTAAGATGAACTGATGATGCTTTCAAACTCGAAAGCGAAACGTCTTCAAAATAGATAAAGTAGCCTATCAACTTTGTCTTTTATTTCTCCACCTAGAGACCGATATAAGAACCCACCACTCGTCTGAGTGATCCTTATATATATATTGGATTGACGGTCGTACTCCTTTTTCCGATATATATATATATATATATTATATATATATATATATATATATATATATATATATATATATATATATATATATATATATACATATATATAATATAAAATTAATGTTTCTTGGGTTTAGGTTCAATAAAGATATGTTACATGTGGAACTAGATTTTATTTTCCATTGTAATCAATCAACGTTTCGGCAGGAAACCCTTGCCTTTGTCAAGATTGTAAAATGTGTATATATATAAGGACAAACAGATATTGTAAAATATGTATATATATATATATATATGACTTACCAAAACGCAAAACGTGACACAGACATTAACGAACTGACATATAAAAGTTGATATCTGATATCTCTGATATCTTTGATATCTCTGATATCAACTTTTATATGTCAGTTCGTTAATGTCTGTGTCACGTTTTACGTTTTGGTAAGTCATATATATATATATATATATATATATATAATATATATATATATATATATATATATACATATTTTACAATATCTGTTTGTCCTTATATATATACACATTTTAGAATCTTGACAAAGGCAAGGGTTTCCTGCCGAAACGTTGATTGATTACAATGGAAAATAAAATCTAGTTCCACATGTAACATATCTTTATTGAACCTAAACCCAAGAAACATTAATTTTATATTAAATATAATACGGTTCAAGAAACTCAAAACTACTATATATATAATATATATATATATATATATATATATATATATATATATATATATATATATATATATATATATCAGTGATTAAGTTTCCACAATATATATATATATATATATATATATATATATATATATATATATATATATATATATATACAGGGTGAGTCATGAGGAACTTTACATACTTCTACCATATGTAGAGTCCCTCAGGGAGCATATCATGTGGCCACTAAAAAATGTCAACTCCTCTTCTTTATTAATTAACAGGGTGATTTGTGTACTTGACCATTTATTTCATTTTACTGTAGTGTTTATACGGCTCATTTGATTTTTTTAATTTTTGCATGATACAGTACACTACTATCAAGCATTCGATTGGTATTAGCTAAACTAAAAAATTCCAGGACTGGCTTTGGAAAAATTAATTTAGGGATTCGTAATAAATATTACACCCTGTATATATATTTTTTAAAATGCAATAAGTGATTTTCAAACTACATAAATAGCCAATGAAAACGACATATGCGACAATGTTGTCGCACTTTTATTAAATTTTTAGTGAACGATCAAATCTTACCAAAAATAGAACAACCATAATGAAATATCAAATTATAAGGTATTAATTTAAACAAATGTTATAAATTTCAAACATTTTAATTAAAATGAGTTCCTACAACATAATCGAATACGTAGAAAATTAACATCTTTACTGTCACTTTGTGTTATCTCTACGATAGAATCAATTATTTTTCAATTTTAAATTTTTACTCATAGATCGTATTGGGGCATTATTTTCGATAAATAATAAATTAAATTGAATAAAAAGTCAAACCTCTTGTATGTGTTAGTTTTTGTTGATTGTAAATGATTAAAATTTTATGTCAAATAATAATACATTGCATCAACTGTACTAAATAAAAATAAATCTAAAAAAGTTTAAAATGAAGGTTGGTGTGACCGTTTGACATTTCTTGATATTTTATACCCATGGTCATTATTGTCATTATCAATTGTTATTTATGTGTACAAGAATACATATTTCTTCTGTCATATCTACGTTAAGTACATTGTGTTAGTTTTGGTCATCGAGCAATAAGACAAAAGAGGGAATGTAAAGGTAATGGGGGTAAACCAATGACGTATAATATATAGACTCGGTGAACGCTTTAAAAAGTGTCCAAAACATGAATACCTTTGTTATTGTTTATTGTTTTGATACGAAGATGCACGAAGTTCATGATTTCTTACGAAGCATCACGAAGTTGATCTTGTGTTTGAAAACATCATGGACGTACTCCATTTTGTGTGACAAGCAAATTTTATTTTAAATTGTTGATAGTTATTTACTTACTATTTTAGTAAAATGCCATACTATTTTATCAAAATAATTATTTCTCTTATAGACGGGAACAAAAAGAAATCATAAATATTTAATTTTAATTAAAAAAATAATTATTGTCATTAACTTATAAATGAGCACGCCGCTGTTGTAATAAACATACCTTCAACCTTCAGCCGAGATCTTTCGGACACTCGATTCTATAGCGAGAATAGGGGACTGCGTAGTCTATATATTATACGTCATTGGGGTAAACATATTGATAGACAGGAAGTGCCATCTTGAGAGGCCACTTTAGACAAGGATAGACAGTCTCTTTCCTTGTTTAAGAAGTCAAATTTAGTTAGGTTATGTTATTGTTTGTCCCAACTGTCACATGAAATTTTATTTATATTGAAATCTTTTACCTATTGTGTCACTTTTTAGACTATTATAGTTAATATTTAATTAAAACTTTCTCGTCTGAAAAATATTTTATAGCTATTGTTAATAAGTGTTGGAAAATTTAAATTTAGCGCCTTTGCATTTCCGGATATGTCCGCCATCAGAGGCCACTTTTTTGGTCTCCTTTTCATAACGATTAGATTCCCTCTTTTATCTTTTTGCTCGATGGTTTTGGTAGAGCTTTTGTTACTTTCGTTCAAAATGCCACATCAGTTTTCGACCACAGAATATGCAGACATAATATTTGTTTTTCTACTCTCTTACTAGTAAATTGTATATTACCTACTATTTGGATGCTAAGTAAATGCATCATAACTGATACTGACACGTAATGACTAGCACGTAATAAAAAAAATTACGCTTCAGTTTTATAAAAATGTGTAATATCACATAAGCCTCGTAAGTCAGTTGGTCGAGTTACCATGGAAACGAATTAACGTTTCCATGGTAACGTTATTTTGACAGATTAAAAATTATTAAACTGTCAGTGTAAATATAGTGGTAATTTAATTTTTATTTTTATAAACAAAATAATGGTAGAAAAAGTATAGTACACAACTTGAGTTGTAAGATTATTACATGCTTGTAAAATTACTGCGCTTGCCGCTACGCGGCTCGCGCGCAACTTTTCTACTCGCATGTAATAAGCTTCTTACAACTCTCGTTATGTAATATACTATTATGGATTCTGTAATGGGAATGGTACGGCTGCTAGTAGAGAATATCGCAGGAGATTTCCTAATCGTCGAACTCCCAGTCATCCAACATTTGGGTCAGTTTTTAATTATTTGCGAGAAAATGGCACTTTTCCTAGTGGAACAACAGAGCGACATGTAGATGAAGCGCAGGAAGATGACATTATGGACGCCGTTACTATAAACTCTACAATAAGCATTAGACAAGTAAGTCGAGAACTCAATGTTACTCAATCAAAGTAAGTAGAGTCTTAAAAAATAATCTATACCCTTATCACATGCAAATGGTTCAGCGACTACATGCTGGAGATGAGATCGATAGGTTGGAATTTTGTAGATGGATTAACAATAATCGACCAACGCTATAAAGGACACTATTTACAGATAAAGCCCAGTTTACCAGAGATGGGATAAATAATTCACGAAATTCACATGTGTGGGCAGAAGAAAATCACCATGCTATTCGAGAACGTCGTTTTCAGTTAAGGTTTTCGGTTAACGTGTGGATTGGTGTCATAAATAACCAATTAGTAGGTCCTCACTTTTTTGACGGTCCTTTAACAGGGCAGGTCTATTTGAACTTTCTACAAAATATTTTGCCTAATTTGCTTGCCAACGCGAACGTTGCTATCCGAGGGATGTATTTTCAGCATGATGGTGCACCCCACAGT